TGCGCCACCGGGGAGGGCCGGGCCTGGAAGGCTTTTTCTTTTTAATGTTTAACTTTTTAAAGAATTTTCTCATCTCTTTATTACATTTATATTTTTTACATCGTTCTTCATTTTGTTCATTTTTTCATCTCGGTTATAACCCCCCTGGGCTTCCCACCACCAGTTCACCCGTGTGCCATCACCACAGTCCAGTGCACTCTTCCCACCCCAGTTTACCTGGGAAGTTTGAACCAAAGCAGTCAATCTATGGATTTACAAACTTTCTAACCACGTCTATCAGCAAAGTAGAGGGCACTCACCAGTAGAGGGCTTCCTGCTATTTCTGGGATGCCAGGGGCTTTATAAACACACTGCGTGTTTGTGTCCTACACCACAGGCTTCAGCCATAACCCAAGGGTTTGGTTTCCTTGTCCTGCCAGCCCAGACTGAAGAGTTGCAAAGGCTAGGGTTCCCCTGGGGAGCCGCCCGGCCCGGGGCATGAGGGCTCCTTAGCAGACTCCTGCGGCTCACCAGGACTCTGGGTGCTGGGCTGTCTGGGAGCAGCCAGGCAGCAGTGCCACCCCAAGTGGCACGGGTCAGCCTGGGGAGCGCATTGGCCTTTAGCACCAAAAGACGAACTCAATAGCTTCCAATGCCCAGCTGCAGTCCACAGAGGACAGGTGGCTGCAGGCCAGCAGAGCGAAGACGCCTTCAGGAGGAAGTTAGCATGTCCTGTACCCACAGTCCCCAGCCTTGATGGCTGCCGGGTGGCTAGTAGTCAGGCATCCAGGGGGCAGCCCCATCAATGCTGCTCTTACCTGCCACTGGACACTCCTGCAGCCAGGGACAGAGTTTGTCCAGGAGCCAGAAGTAGCCTGACTCACATTGGCGAGAGTGGCCAGAGCCTGGCCAGACTGCCTCTGAGAGCAGGGCAGGAGGGAGGGATTGACATCTGAGGCCTTTGAATTCCTCCCCCTTCTTTCCCAGGTTCCTTTCTGGTGCTACATGGAAGTGCCTATTTCACCTTAGACTTGAGCTCCGGTTTTGTTTTTGCTTTAGACAAAGGCTTCACCCGCTCCCCCCACCCCCACCCCAACGGCTGGACCTGCCCCTTTGTACCTTGTGCCCCCTCACTCACAGGACTGGGATTGGGCCTGGCCCCAGCGACAGGATGCTTCATAGGAAGACTCCTGGGGTGACTGCGCACACTGTCAGGGCAAATGTTGGGTAAACACAGAATGGGGAGCTGCCACCTGGCTGCCCTGTGCCCGGACCTTTGAGCCCAGCCACACTGGTCTGGCTCGAGTGAATCCTTCCACTGGTGGCCACCAGGACGTGTTCCCGGCTCTCACCGCAGCCTCAGAGTCGGCGTCCAAACCCACTGAGGCCGCAGCCACCCGGCTGGCAATGCATGCCCCCACGGCTTCTCTCCCCAAGCCAGGCATCCTCCTGAGACACAGTCAGATTCTGAGGCCAGGCCCATGTTCTCCTCCGGGCCTGGCCAACCCCCAGGAAGAGGGGCGGCCGGCCTGGAGGGGAGGCAGCCCACAAAACCTGCTCCTACTGCCCTGTGCAGCTGCTCCCAGTCCTCTCCTCGCGACTGGAGAAGAAAGGAAAGCCTGCATCTGTCTCCTGTGCCCTCAGAAGAATGAAGATGAAAGTAGAGTCTGTTCCCCTCTGAGCGTGTGTGGGAGGACACAGGGTGGTCCTTTATGGCAGGCCCTTAAATCCGCACGGCGGTAGGTCTGCCTCCTGGGATCACCGGCTGGACACTTCGTGCGGTACTTGAATTTCTGTGAGCTCCTTTGGTTACCTCCATGGATAACCTTTTTTATAGCCTCCAGTGATTTCGTTCATGGATTCATTATTTTCTCAGCTTTCTGAGGAATCCAGTGATGCTTGGTGTGTGTGTGTGTGTTTTTAAAAAGATTTATTTATTTATTCATACAGAACTGGGGTACAGGCCAGAGATGTGGAGAGAGAGGATTCACCAGGATCAGAGTGGGGAGCAGAACAGGCAGATCGACGAAGTACACTGCTGAGGGGAGCAGCGGGCGGGTCAGGAGAGGTCTGCCACCTCATGTGGTCACCTCCGGGCAGGCGGGGATTGAACTCATGCGGAAGTAGCTTAAGCTTCTTAGCGCTGTGCTTTAACCTGCTGCGCCACCAGGGAGGGCCCTGGTGTGTGTTCTTAAGTGTGTTGTCTCCGCTTTGGTTTCCTTGTCCTTTCCCTCCCTTCCTCCCACCCTTCTCTCTTCCCTCTCTCCTCCCCCATCTCTCCTTCTTGCGTCCTTCCTCCTCCCTTTCCCATCTCTATTTTCCATGCCGGTGCCTTTCCTAAAATTCAAATCTGCTGGCCTGACGTAGGCCAGGCCTTCATCGCCGGCACCTCCAAGGTTCCTAACAGCACAGGCACTGGGATGGCCATAGGAGGCCCCCGTGGCGGACCCGCAGCTTGGTGAGGACACAACGTCTGCCGGCCCACTCCCTGGGCATCTGCTCTCGGAGTCTGTGGGTTCTTTCAGGCTGCCTGAGTCCCCTGGGGAATAATTCTCCAAGTAGCTGGCCTCGTTGGGATGGGGCCTGGTTGGGATGTGAGCTCTCTTACTGTCTGTTTTTGTGCTGCGGCCTCAGCTGGCCTCAGCTGTGCCGGCGTCTCCAAGGCCAGGTTCACGCTTCCCCTCCTGTGAGCTATGGGGCCTGGCACCCAAGCTAGGGCTGGGAAGAGTCACGAGAGGCCCCGCTTCCCAGAGGGACTTCTCATGGAGAGATTCCTGGGCCTCAATTCCTGGGCATTTGGGGAGAACAAGCCTCTTGCCAAATTAGCTCTCTCTAGGTCACTTTCTCTGGCTCTCAGCTTTTTTCTTCCAAATACAGCTTCCCTTGGAAGTTTATTTGGCGGAAGAAAACCTTTTGGTATTCAAGAAGAATTTCAGGAGGTAAATGTGGGTGAAAACCCCTCCATATTGAACCAGAAGGTCTTCTCCCTGAGTCCACCTCACATTTTCTTTCTCCCACCCTCCCACCAGTTTTTGACATTGTCATGGGAGTTTCCCTTTGGGGATTCTTTACATCCCATCACAGGCAATTCCCTAGATGGGAACAAGTGAACATGGGGGAAAGGGCAGCTGCCGGGTTCATCCTTCCGCGGTTGACAGCACATTTGCAAGGAGAGTGGAGATGAGGCCAAGGGGAGGCTGGGAAGGCAGGACTAAGCGCCGCGAGAGGAGCACTCAGTGCTGACTTTGCCTTGCAGACCTGGGCCTGTCCCCACACCTCACAGCGCTCATGGCAGGTGGCCAGCCCTTGGGGAACAGCAGCAGCACTGGGGACACCGGCTTCAGCTGCTCTCAGGACTCAGGTAAGCCTCACACCTGCCACGTTTCCCTGAGCTGTCAAGGGCACCTAAAGGGACCAGGACCAAATGCTGTGGGTGTTGAGTTGCACCCAGCAGTGAGTTTGAATGAATGGGAGACAGGGAGGCGAGGGGAGTGGAGAGCGGAGGAGGCCGAGAGAAAGACTTGGCTTTGCTGGTAGACACGCACATTCTGCCCTGCTTTTAGGAACAGATGTGATGCTGCTGGAAGACTACACATCCGATGACAACGCTCCCTCCCACTGCACCTGCCCCCCCAAGAGACGGAGCTCGGTGACATTCGAGGATGAAGTAGAACAAATCAAAGGTACCTGATTTCCATGATGGGTGGATTCAAGGACAGCATAAGGGGCAGGAGAAGAACTTAGGAAAATCCCCTGGCTCAGTCCTGCCTCACCCCAGAAACTGACAGGGTTCCACCGTCTCTGCCCTCCACAGGCCACCTCCCAAAGACCTGCCAGTCTCTCTTGAGTCCTTAGGGCACAACTCTCAGAGCAAGTGGCATCTAATACTGGACAGACAAACTACACACACACACACACACACACATACCGCTCACAGCCCAGATTTCCTCCCCCCTCAGGAAGTTGTTCAATTCGATGAAATAGTTCAGTGCCCCTCACAGTATGTACTTTATGGGTGCTATGTGGTTATAAAGCTAAACTTGCCTCTGAGCCTCACGTTCCTCTGTGGAACGTGGAAGCAACTGCCTAGCAAGGCAAAGACTGACGTCTTGATGGCCTGCTGTCCCTAAAACTGAGGAGGACACAAGTTCTGGGAGGGGGTGAGCTCTGCTCCCCAGTCCCTCCCTTGTCCACTCCCCCTTGTTTTGCCCTCAGCCCCCTGCTCCAGGTCGCCTCTGGACCTCTGGGACTTGGAACCCGGTGTCTCATGCAGACATACCGGCCAGAGGAGTGACACGGGAGCCCTCCAAGCTGCTCACATGTCAGAGTCTGCTTTTCCCTGAGAACCTCTCATGAGGACAGCCCCCGACAGGACTGGGTGGATGCGTGGAGATGTGCGTTATTCCGAGGAACTGAGAGTGAAAGGGAATGGGGGCTCTGGCAGAGTTTAGGTTTATAATGAACCTTAGCTTTTCTGCCCACCCCCACTCTGAGTCCAGATGAATTGAGGGGTCACCAAGGGCAGAGATCAAATGGTCCCTTCACTGGCAGAGTGAACCCAGGAACAGCTGCTCAGCCTGGAAGCTTCATGGGCTTTCTAATCTATTTCTTCCATGTAAAGAAATGAACCTAAGCCCTTCTCAGCCTACCCAGCCCATGCAGGACCAAGGCGCAGTCTGCCTTCTTGGTGTGGGGGGAGTGGTGCCAATGGCGCCCTCTGCTGGCGGGGAGAGCCAGGCGCCGCTAGGCCACCTCAATTTTCTTGGAGTGAGCCCTGGGCACGCTTCCCGCTTCAAGAGTTGGGCGGAAATTGCCTACTTTCCAGATATCCGGGGATAAATTGTTTTCCAAAAAATTTCCAGAGAAAAACAGGTACTAATGATAATAGCAATAAGCTGGGCATGAGATTGACAGCCTTCTCCTTTTCCATTCCTGTTTGGAATTTTTCATGCTCCAACCCTGAGGTTCTTCATGACGTTGGTAAGTCCTGGGCCAGTTCGGAGAACAGAGTGTCCGTGTTCAGGGTTGTGGACATTCGCAGTCATAGATTTGGACTGTTCCAAGGAGCTGATAGGCCAAGGAATGCTTCCACAGACTTCAAATTTTGATTATTAGTAACAGCAGGGCTTTATCAAGCCTTTCCAATGGGCCAGATCGGGGCTAAGCATCTTAGTAAGGATTGTTTAATATCAATAACCTTATGAAGAGGTGTATATGGGCCTTATTGTAATAGGTGAGAAGGCTGAGGCTGGATAAAGTAATATTAGAGATTCCCAGGTGCTGGGCAAGCTATCGAGGGTTACAGCCTAGAGAATTTGACTTCAGAAGACATGCCCCAAGCTCAGTTTGCCTCCACTCCCTGGGACAGTGAAGTGATGGCAGCTCTGTTCCTCGGATTGTCGCCGGTGCTGGTCTCTGGCTAACGTCTCTTCTGCATTCTCCCTTAGAAGCTGCCAAGAACCCTATCCTCCACGTGAAAGCCGAAGTACACAAGTCCTTGGACAGTTACGCAGCCAGTTTGGCCAAAGCCATAGAGGCCGAGGCCAAGATCAACTTATTTGGGGAGGAGGCTCTTCCCGGGGTCCTGTTGACGGCGCGGTCTGTCCCGGGGACTGGCTTTGGGGGCCGCCGGGGCAGCAGGACATTGGCGAGCCAGAGGCTGCAGCTGCAGAGCATTGAAGAAGGAAACATCTTAGCTGCTGAGCAGAGATGAGGGCCTCTGGGGATCTCCGCGGAAGGATGCCTCTAGTGGGCTGTACCGGGATCCTGGGAGCATGGGGAAGGAACATCTGCTGTGCAGCCACCAGGGAAAACACTGAAAACAATGTCTATAGCCAGTGACTTCAGTGTCGGTGGTGAGGCAACATGCAGGCTTCTCCGGGTCCCAGAGATGGGGCCAGAGATGTGTAAAGCACAACAGAAAGCAGATGGATGTGTGGCTGTGACTTTGTGGGAGGTGGGCACAGCAGGGACTGGAGTCCTGGCCTTGAAAAGAAACCACATTGTGGGTTGTTCCCTCTTCTTCACGAGCTATATCCAGGGGTCCAGACACCCAGCAGGGGGCCTGTGCCTTTGAGGACAGCACATCTGAGAAGCAAGATCACCCAGGGCTTCTGCATGATGGCACAGGCGGCTCTGGCTGCCAGCAGTCGTACGCTAACTGGTCTCAAAAGAAGTAGAGCCCCTGCGTCTAGTCCCCAAATCTCCAGTCTGGGCTGTGACTGTGTCTTCAGGACCTGCCCCCGCCGGTCCTGGGAAGGGCAGCTTGCAGGCAAAAAGGTCCAGGCAGGGCCTGCTGTTTCTGAGGACGGGGACCCACCCCACCTACTTCTCTACTGACTGATTCTTTGGTACTTCAAAAGAAGGGAGAAACCACTAGAAGAGATAGCAGAATGGAGCAGATTCCAGATGCTTCACTCCCAGAATTTAAAAATATCTGTTGGGTACGGACACCACAATCTGTTTGTGATTCTGTTTGTGACTCATGAAGGACCAGTTAGAATTGCTGGTCTCCAGTTTCACAGGCTGGATGCCCAAATGCAACAGTGACTATTATTCCAACCCAGGGGAGGCCCGAGATGCAATGGGAAGAGAGCAAGACCTGTTGTCAGTGGCTTGGGTTCTGGGCCCAGCTCCACCTCTTTTTCATGTGGGACATATGGCACCTCCCTGGACCAGCTGGACAGAGAAATGAATGGGCTCCAAGACCATGTCCAACTCTGATCTTTAATGGTCTTTCAGTTTGCCAGAGGTGGGAAAAAGGGGCCTCACAGGCCAGTTTTTGTTTGGCCTTGAATGTGGCTTGTGTTGAGCACTGGAGTGTTGTAGGCCCAGGTATGTGGGCCTGACAGGAATTTTGAGCCCAGTCCTGATTGAATGTCAACCCCCAAGGCACACAGAGGTGCCGGAGTGAGCCCTTTGTGTGGGGGACAATAGATGAAATGTGTGTTGAGAGTACTGGCTGTGGTGACTTGCAAAGCCGCGCTGGGTCACCTGTGTCTTCTCATTAACCTGGGCAATTAGATAAACTAAACACAGGGTGTAGCCTGCCGGGGGGATACTGGGGCTTCCAGATAATGTCAGCAGTCTGAGGAGATTCAGAGGTGGCTGCTCCAAGGTGGCAGCCCCTCCAGAAAGTCATTCCCCTCATGGTGTTTCTTTTGGGTCTAGTCAGCCCTCGGTGGAGACCAAAGGTTGGCTAGTCCCCTGGTCTGCAATTTATAAAGACTTAGTAAGGCCCAGGGCTTTGCTACCTTTGTTGTGATGGGACTCCTTCTTGCCAGCTGTTCCCTGTCATCTGGTGCCAGCTGCAGACCTGGGTTCTAGACAGGAGTGGGAGGGGCATATTACTTTTCCAGGGTGCACAAGGCAGGTCCCCTGTGTGCTTTGCTGAGATGTGTAGCTGGAAAGATTCTGCTCACACTACTGAGCATCATTCCTAAACCTGAGGGCATTTTGTTTTCTCTCTCTCTCTGTGTGTGTATATATATATATATTTCTAGCACTTAACTAGTTTCTAAAGAAACCACAATACTATCAACAGAGGTGGGGCAGGGCAGAGACCTTTGCCTCTAGGCTGGGACACTCCGGGATGTCACCTGTTGGGCCTTTAAAATCGCCTGGAAGCCTGGGGTTGGAGAGTGTTTCCCCTGGACTGCCCTCTGCTGGGCTTTGGGAGAGAGTCCTGACCCCTGGTCCCCACTGTCCAGCCCTGAAGGACTAGCATTTACTCAGTGCCAATCTGGAAATACTGCACTTCCCGGGCGGATTCGCCATTTTCTTTTCTTCCACTTGCTCCATCAGGTTGTTCATCCACCAGACACTGTGCATCTGGAGTGTCACTCCAATTCAAGGAGAGACCCGGGGGGATACTGGGGCTTCCAGATAATGTCAAGTAATGGTTACAAAAGGAGCTCGAGTTCCACTGGGAGACAAGGATTTCCAACTTAGGAGTTAGTGCTCCATGAAGGGTGACAATTTGAGCAAGGATGTCTGGCATGTAGAACCAAATTCTGCATATTCAGGAGTTCATATTTGTCTCAGTTCAGCTGAGAGAAGGTGGAAGGAGGGAGGGAGAGAGGAGAGGCGTAGGAAGAGCAAGAAGGAGCAGGTGGGTGGGGCAAGAAAGAGTCACATATTTCTGATATTTTGAGGGCATCAGTCCTTGGTGTAGGTCAAAACCTCAACTGGCACCACTAACCCATAAGTCCCTTGCTGTATGCTGCCATGTGGTGGCATCCAAAGCTTTTCTGAGTGTGGACCTGGTGGACTGTGGCAATTGGGACATTGTCACTCATTCCTAAGTACCTGTTCTGTATCTCCTGGTTTTGACAGGACCACCACTAAGGCACATGTCTGCGTCTTCCATCAAGATTGCCACTTGACAGGGCCCTGTGCTATGCCCCAGGTAGAAACTTAGGGGACTCTTTTAGGCCAGGAGGTCACTGGCGTTCCCCTCTGCCTAGACCCTGGGCACCCAGGCGGGAGTGCGTGCCTTGGACACTAGGGGGCAGCAGTGTGAACATGATGCTGCAGGCACTTCCCCAGTGCCACCTAAGGATAAACCCCAAGGCTGCTTTGCTCCTGGCCTAGAACACTCCTTTGAACTACTGTCCTCGGTCCTCACCACCCAGCCAGCTGGCTTATGTTTGTGACCCTACTAAGGGGCACAGGTGCTGCCACCAGTCAGCTGTGTGATCTTAAACAAATCTTTGTTGCAGAAGGGCATTGAGGAATGCAAGACAAGGGCCATTCCAGGCTAACGTGTGTCTCCTTTAAGGAACTACGTCATTTCTGGTGGTCTAGACAGATACAGTTTCTGCAAAGACTTGGGCAACCAGAGTCTCATTTGTAGAAGGTCCCTGGGTTGGGGTGGGAACAAGGAAAAGAGGTTGCATACAATGGTGACCTGGAGGTACCTGTAGACTGGAGATGGGTGTCTAGAACATTCTCACGACATGTGTCAGCTGTCAGTTTGACACTTCTATTGGGAAGGGAGGGCGACATGGTGAACAACAGGAGGAGTAGGGGAGCAAGGCATGTGCTGCACGCCTTAGGCACGTCAGGCACAGCCAAATACTCCCATAGTGGCAGCTGACCACGCAGGCCTTGGTATGTAAATTATGGCTTCAGATCCCACGCTGCCATCCATTAGCTGGGTGCTCTGGGGCAGGTTAATCTGCACCAGTTTCCTGCTCTGTAAATTGAGGCTTTGTAACCTTTCTCTATGGGGATGCAGGGTGCAGGGGCCTGTGTCATAGGTGATTCTGTGGGTTAAAGCACTGGGGCAGGGTCCCTGCTGCGGAGTTGCAGCACACTTCCCAGCCCTCTGGGGCGGTGCATTGTTCCTGTTTTACAGGCATCTGACAAAGTGAATATCCTGAAGAGGTAACTTCCTAGCGAGGAAGTGCTGGAGGTTGGTTGTTGCTATGGGGATTATCCCATGCACTGTATGGCACACCCATCTTTTGGGACCGGAAGGGGAAGGCTATGGAAAAGAGGGAGGAAAGGCTGAGTAGCATTTGGAATTCGAGAATCCCGAAGGAGCAAAAATGAACTTTTCTGTTAATGGCTATCAAAGATGTTGTGACCCTGGGGCTTGCCGTAGCTCCCCAGATCACAGCACATGCTCAGCCTTTACCTCCCTGGTAGCTGGAAAGTGGGGTCCCCAGGATCTTCCCTGGGAGCTGAGGGCAGCTCTGTCCTTTGGAAACAGTCACAGCTCACTGGCTGTGGCTATAGGTTGTCTCTGATCCTCTGAGCCCCTGAGAGTGGGAGAGAAGGGGAACAGGGCAGGAATCCAGATTTCTATGCTGTGTGGGCAGAACCCCAGGTGAAACCTGTGGAGAGAGCAGGGAAGTCACAGCTGTCCCTGATCAAAGGGAATGGCTGGGGTCACAGTCAAGAGTACATGAGAGGCAGCCAACGGTCCTGGGCTGGCGACCGGGACGCAGAATGCAGGGAGACCGAGGGCAAAGAAAACTGCCCTAGGCCTCAAAGCGAGTTGGGCCACAGTGAGTCCATCTAGTCTTGGCCACGTGACTGAAAGAAGGAAGGAGCCAGCTTTGCATGGGGAGGTAGAGGCATCTCTATCCGGAGAATAGGCAGAAAGGAGCCCAGGAGACAGGCCCAAGTATGTGACTGGATTCATTAGAAGAATTTCAGCACAAACTCAAGTTTGACAGGATTACCAAGACCCCAGTTTTGCTCAGTCTTATTTTTTTTTTTAAAAGATTTTATTTATTTATTCATACAGAACTGGGGTATAGGCCAGAGGTACAGGGGCGGTGAGAGGATACACCAGAGACAGAGCAGGCCAAATGATGAAGTACACTGCTGAGGGGAGCAGCGGGCAGGCCAGGAGAGGTCTGCCGGATCACCTCGGGGCAGGTGGGGATCCAACTCATGAGGAAGTGGCTTTAGCTTCTCAGAGCTGTGGTTTAACCTGCTGCGCCACCAGGGAGGGCCCTCAGTCTTATTTTTAGGAGAATAAAATACACAGTGTTTATTTCTCTTCCAGAAGCACTTTCCTGAGCTGAATTATATTAACAGCTTAGGAATCAGAAGCCACTCGTTTCTCTTTCCGACACCACCATTTTGAAATGTCACATCACAGGTGCATCAACCCCTCCCAGAGGTGAGGACTCTGGGCAGGGTGTGGGGCCTGGGCGGGCAAGGCCACACCTACAGCACAACAGGAGCCCGTGTGCCTGGCAGTGACAGGGAGTGAGAGGTGGGCACAGGCTGGAGGGAGAGTCCCGTGCTGGGTTCTGATAATGAAGCCCCTGATGCAAATGTGGTAAAACTCCAACCTTCAAAACAAATAAACAAGCTAATGTATTCCACTTGGAGTTTTTGGATGTTTTTTAAAGATAAGAAAAATGTTAGGATAACTGTAAATCAATATTTATAAACAAGTAAAAGTGTATTTAGAATAGTTTTGTTTACCTGATTAAATATTTGTTTTTGGTATGTGTATAGCTGTGGAAATTATGTATTTGTTCTTGAACTTGTGGGGTTTTTTTGGGTGTCTCCTCTTTATGCCTAGTTTTCTATGGCCATGTCCCTCTTTCTGTCCTCCCTTCCCGTGGCCTAAAAAGAAGCACACTGACTAGGAAGGGGCTGATTATGGCAAAATGAGGGGGGCAGGTGTCCACCCCACAGTCATCTGGGTACAACCTCCAGGCATTGGTCATAATCCCCCCAAGGCAGCTATGTTCCTGGAGTACTGTTAATTGACTTCCCAGCATGAGGAAGAAATAAATCTCTTAACCGAAGTTTTCAAAAGAGGTTCAGTGAAGAACAATGCTGTCCTATAAATAGAGGCCAGTGAGGTTACTACCGAGACTCAGAACCACCTCAGGGCATAAAGTGCACCCCCTTCACCTGACCCCTCCTTGCTACCAGTGAATCATATATATTTTTTTCCAAGTAGGAAGGTGAACGCTAGAGTCCAGCTGCTGAACTTTCTGGGGTCCCTTTTCCATAAACATACACACCAATGCCTGGAAATGTCTGGGCTTCTCACTTCTGCCTATGTGCAATGTTTTCTCTCTCTGCTGCCTCCTTGACTGCTGATCTGGCCTGCTCTACTCCTCTGCAACATACTATCACAAGAACTGAAAAACAGCTAAAGGAAGGGGACTTCATTCCTTTGACAAATAGCATTACATTAACTAAGTTTAAGAGCAGTTGTGGGTCCCCAACAAAACCGAGTAGAGAGTGGAGTTGTCATATACTCTCTATGCCCTCATCCTGACTCTCCCACTGTCAGTATCCTGTGCTAGAGTGGACAGATACCATTTTGATACTCTTCTAGTATTTTTCATGCCAAAGGGTTACTCCATGACCCCACTATCTCCTTTAGGAGTCTTTACCCTGTCAGTTCTCCAACACCAATCTATAGTATATTCCTGTTACTGTTTATTGCAGTGGAAGAAATAATGCCAAATTATATGACTATCATAGGCTTTAGTTGTTTTATAAAGATTTTAATCTTTCAGGTAGTCCCAAGGGCTCCTGGACCTAGATGGTTCAGCTACTATGATTACTCTTATTTTAGAGAGGATAAGTCAGATGGCTTGAGCAGTTCACACAACTAAGAGTGGACCAGGAAGTAAGACTGAACTTTCTGGAAATCATGCAGTTCTCTGTTTGGCTGAAGCTTGAGTCTCTTTTCCCATTTGACCAGTGAGCACATCTGCTGGTGTAGACACATGTGTTCACCACAACTGCCCAATGGTGCAGTCCAGCTGAACTCATTGAGCCAACTAAAAATTTATTTCTCTTGTATCCAAAGAGCAAGCCTGCCATCTTTCAGCATAATTCCTGGGCTTGCAGAAATGCTGTGGGGAGGAGCACTCTGGTCTTCATGTGGGACAGGGATACTTTGCTTGATTATACCTAGGAGACATTTATAGCCCAATAGGAGAACAGCAGGATGGCATTTTGGCAGAGGAGAGGCAGGGTGATGGGGGATAAGTCCAAAGAAGCAGTTTCAGGTTATAGCTTCTAAAATACAGGCCTGAGTACAGATGGCTTAAATTGGTTGAAGGCAGAGAGGTAAGGGAGACAGCCTTAGAAGACTGGATGGCCAACAACTTCAGCTTAAATCTGGAAGTTAAGAGAGAGGAAGCCAGAGCTTCCCAAATTAGCGTAAGTTATACATGTGAACTGTCCATGAAGCTCTGTGATTTGTTTCAAGCCTGACTCCTATATGTATTGCTAACTGAGAGAAATGATGGTAGGAAGCAAAGTACACTGGCAGGTGAAAGTAAAAAAAAATCTTTTCTATATGCTTCTATCACAGAAATCAAAACAAGAACAGGTTATTAAATCTAGGAAAAGAATAGTCTTATGTACAAAAAAATTAGAAAACAGGTCAAAGTAGGAAGGTATTAAATAAATAGTCAAATTCAGGATATCTTAAAACAACAAAGTTCTTTACTTAGAAAGCAACAAACATGCAAATGGCAAGTGTAGAAATTTATTTGAACCAACATTTTTCACTATAATGAAAATTATTCTTCAACATTGATCCAAGCTCTCACATCTGAAGGTTAGGGAAAATATTGCACTTTGCATTTTCTAGCACTCCACATTCATGGCAAAAGGTTTTAAAAACATTTTGCTAGTTTTGCTTTACAAACTCTCCCAAATTCATGCACACAATCATTCCAAACCAATGTTAGGTTATCATCCCCAAAAGGGAAAAACTCCAGAAAATCATAACCTTAAAATTGCACTAATGCTCTGTAAAGAAAAAAATATAATAAATGTCTTATACAAATTTTAGAACATCTAAGTGCTTGCCAATAGGAGTTAATTATTCCTCATCCTCATTTTCATTCTCCTGACCAGAGCCTTCTGATCTGTCACCTTCCAACCGATCTGGAAAACACAAGACAGGAGACTCACAAAAAGAAATACTTTTATGTATGAGAATTAAAGTGCTGTTTAATGTCTTTTACTTACAATTGATAAAAATGTATAAAATTTAACAGATTATTATGTGAAAACAGTTTATTACTGAAGATAGTTTTGTTTTTGGACAAAAGAAAGGACATTAACCAACTCTTCATGTAATCTAAACATTAAAAAAAAAAAAACAGGAAAAATCCTAAAGATCTTGATATATTATGGTCTACTCCAGTCTACTCCTGCTTCTTGAGTCTCAGAATCTAAGGCAGTAGATCAAATGTCACCAGGAGAGTGACAAGGAAAGAGAGGGAAGCTGCACGAGAGAATCTGGGGACCATTTCTGAGGACAGTGGTGACTAACAGTGACACTGTCTTCACCTTCCAGGAGTTGTTAGAGTTTAAGTACAGACAAGCACAGCCTATCTTTCTGCGCTGTCATGACTTACCCTGGCTGGTGCTCTGCTTGGGATACTTTTGCCCAGTTCTTCAGCTATAAAGGTTCTGTTTGCTCATCTCAATATAATTATTATCCCCTTTGTGAAAGTTTTACTGGACTTTTAAAAAAAACAACCAATGTGCAGTGTTAAAAGCTCTTTTTCCCACATTGCAGATACTCTTGCATAAACCCTACGATGACGCTCCCGGTCACACTACCCGTTCACTGCCTATCTTCTTGAAGGCTAAACTGAGAGCTAATGGGAGGCCAGGAGCTATTTCTACTTACCTTAAAATCTCAGGGCCTACTACAAGATTGTTTTTTTTTTTTAAAGATTTATTTGTGCATACAGAACTGGGGTACAGGCCAGAGGCTCAGGGGCGGCGGGCTTCTCCAGAGACAAGAGTGGGGAACAGAACAGGCAGATGGACGAAGTCCACTGCTGAGGGGAGCAGCAGGCGGGTCAGGAGAGGTCTGCCACGCCATATGGTCACCTCCGGGGCAGGCGGGAATCGAACTCATGCGGAAGCGGCTTTAGATTCTCACTGCTGTGCTTTAACCCGCTGCGCCACCAGGGAGGGCCCTACAAGATGTTTTAATGAAGGGCTTAACTAATAAATGAGTATTTATCATGTAAAATGATAATTTACATTAAGAAATATAAAGACGCTAAGAGTATAATATCACTACAGCCACTAGGTTGAAACCCTTTCTAATACAGAAAACATTTCCCCAAGGTAACATGGATAATGTTAAAGTTAGATGTAACTGTTTAATCCCACTGTCAACAGCAAGAGAAGACTGAATCCTGAGGTTTTATTTGTTACCTTTTAAAACTATTCCCATTGGAATAGTCTAATTGTCCAAGTGAATGAAATTCAATCCCCTCTAGGCCGACTCTAATTCAATGTCAAACTTTTGAGATTATATATATGATTTACAACCTGAATTACACATATATTTTAGCTGTTATTATGTAAATCTCTTAATTAATGGTTTTAAAATAAATGAAATAATTAAGATTTGAACAGACCTTCACAGATCATGAAGGAATCAAACACTGTGGGAGAATTTCTGACAAATAAAAGTTGTCAAAGGGTATTGTTACAAGGTTACACTATTTCTTGTGTGATTTTCTTTCGTGAGAAAACAAAATGAAGTTGCTATTCTTCTGAAGTAGATTCTCTTGACAGGACCCCTGTACACCACTGGCCATACTGCATAACCTATTCTGTCCTCTTAGTGGACTATGAGGAAGCAGTATGTACCTATTTCAAAGTGTTCAGTTTTCTTACCTAAATTCTTTTTGGTTGTGACACTATGAATGAAGATAGGAAGGAAAAAGGGGTTAAGAAGAAGTGTCATGGCCTTAAAATCAAGGAGTTCAAGTAGATTCTAAAATTCTGCAGAATCCAAAGAAAAGAAATTTGATTTATGAACTAATAAATATGTGTTTGTTTGATAAACATGTTTTGTTTATAGTAGATACTGTATCTTTTCTATTGTTATGAATATACATTATTCAATTTTTTTAACATTAGCTGTAATACATATATTCTATATATCTGTGGCACTGACCCTCACAGCTTATCATCTAAAACAAACAAAAAAGCTGAAAAGGATATAATGAAGTATCCCTTTCAATAATGATAGTGTGTCATGTTGGTTTTTATATGGGCTATGATTAATTTTGACCAAATCTACTATTAAAGAATACTTAATGTAACATTTTTACAGTTTATTTGATGTTCCTCTCCTCCAAGAAGTCAAGCACAGGTGATGGAAATTTTTAAGGTTTTCATTTTGATAGTTTTTGCTAAATTAAAGTCCAAGAGGAAATAAGCTATTGTGCTAAGATGAAGTGTTCACAGAATTCCTAGTTCAGATGTTAAGCTGCCTTCATTTTGTGAGTTACAGAAATTATAGAAAAGCCCTGCAAGTAGATCTTAAGTAGTACATGTTTTTGAGATATAATAAATGATTTCAGCAGTATACAGACAGTTCTTACCAGCTCGGATATGATTCAGTGAAGCCAACATCCTCAACATGAAAGAGGCTGGAACTGTAATGGTGTTTCTAGTCTCTTCCAGCATAAGTTCATTTCGAGTTATAACCTATGAGGCAAGTTAAACAGTCATGTCAAAGATCATAGAGTAACTGGAGATTAGGAGAACAACAACAAAAAAAACCCATCAGGTCCTAGGAGAAATGCTATAGGTAAGCTGTTTGTATTTCCACCTTAAGCTATTAAGTGCCAAACAATTATTTCAACTTGCATTCGAGTAGTAAGAAACTGGCAGAAAGATAAATGTCAAATTTTGAAGTTAATCATATAAGAATTTCAATGAACTTTTACTTGTAATTTGTTTTCCAAAGCAGTCTATTTTATGTCTGCTTATTGTTTTCGATAATTCTAGTGACATGATAGCATTAAATTATTGTTCCTGGGTTACTTGACTTTTCTGAGAAAATATTACCTTGACTGAGACTAAGTAATATAGGAATAAAAACCTTTTTGACAAGTTATTGATGAATTGTGTCTTAAGGATGAAGAAAAAGACAAAATGAATATCCATGATACAGATCCAACATACAACCATGGGGAAAGGAAAAAAAGGAAGAAGGAAAGCATGAGAGGAAAACAAAGATGCTGATCTGATAACATTTCTCCAACTCATATCACAACACACTTTCGACTCACTAGGGCGTTGCACAAGGACCTTCACAACTTTGCCCCAACCTTGCTTTTTAGTCACCTGAGCTGTAGGTCACAGACACTCTATTTTAGCACTCTTATGGTTCATTTACCCTCTCATATTTATCCTCTCCTATGCTGACCCTTCTGTCTCAAATACTCCTTTCTTCCTTGCTGCCTGATAAACTCAGTCTAATTTTTATTTCCTCTGTGAGGACTTCCCCACTGCAGCTATTTCATTCACACTCAGGTGTTGCTATTTATAGGCTTACAAAACATCACATGTACATCTCTGACCACACTATATGCTAGTTGACTATCTTCCCAAGAGTCTAGAAGCTCTGTGATCATGGTTTATCTTTTCAAATTCATCCCATTGTGTAACATATACCAACTGTTTCATAAATGTCTATTAAATGAGTGAAAAACATGGGAATTGTGCTGTGAATTGTCAATCATACTGGTTTCCCAAACTACTAACACTTCTAGCAATGGATTCATTTTATTTTGTATTAAGCAGATGTAGTGTCAATGTATCCATCCACAGAAGCTTGGCAGCTAATGGACCTTCATTTTTATAAGAAATCTTATGTATGTAGAAACAAATAAAAACCTTGCTTAAAGTTAGGGAGGAAAGGCCAAGAGTTCAGCTTTTCTTTCTACCTTTCCTCTAATAATCCTGTAAGAAATCTAGAGCTTCACAGAAATCATTGTGAAAACTATTAACAAGAAGCTAAAGAAGCTTTAAAATATAAAGGAAAAGATTCTCCGATTAAATGTTCTGTTGTTTGGCTACCACTATGGAGAACAGCTATAATAAACTATTCTCTTAAAAAGACAATTTTAAAAATAAAAACATTTTTTTCCTAAACAATACATTTAATAAGGCATTAATAATAATTCATATTCAAATTAACAAATGTATTTCAATTTTACCTTTCTAGTTTACAGGCATTTTTTCTATCTTAATTTTTCTTTTACTTAAAATGTAGCTTCTGGCCCTCCCTGATGGCGCAGCAGGTTAAAGCACAGCATTAAGAAGCTAAAGCCACTTCCGCATGAGTTCGATCCCTGCCTGCCCCGGAGGTGACCACATGGCGTGGCAGACCTCTCCTGACCTGCCCGCTGCTCTCCTCAGCAGTGTACTTCGTGGATCTGCCTGTTCTGCTCCCCACTCTGTCTCTGGTGAATCCTCTCACCCTCCACATCTCTGGCCTGTACCCCAGTTCTGTATGAATAAATAAATCTTTAAAAAAAAATGTAGCTTCCTTGATTGCATTAGCTTATTTATGAAGCTCCAAATTAATAATGAGCTGTTTTAATTTTTCTTAAAAGACGGTCAAAGAACACTGTGTAATATAGTATATAGTAAGCATAATAAGAATCTTACTTCATCAGCAAGTTTTCGGTTAAAAATTCTTGACTCTTCTAGGGGTGACCAGATCTTTATGTCATAATCTATGCCAGATGAGGCTAGAACTAGAAATAAAATTTACATATTAATATAAAACTTAGAAACATTCCATTAATTTAAGACATATGTATAAGAGCCGGACAGCAGGAATGAAAATGTACTGATACATTTAATACATTTAATTGTTAATTGTTAATTGTTAATAGATTATTATTTTCAGTTTCCTAAAGTATAATTTTAAGACCACCTTGAAATCACTCAAATTTCTTTCTTACTCACTGTTCTTTTATGAGGAACTGGGTAATTTAAGATGGAATAAAAGAACAAGCCAATATTCCCTTGTTCTGCTAAATAAATTCAGACATGAAGACTATCAAGGTTCAATTTGGATAAGTAATGAAAAGTTCAGTCAGCCAAACCTGACAAAACTTAGAAGTGATAAAATTTTAAATATTGGGAAAATAATTCTTTAACTTTCCTCCATACTTTCTGCCAAAAGCAGGTTATAGGATTTTTCTGTTTTAGACCTGAGTTATAATCGACTCATAAGTGGTTACTTATGAGGTTAATCTTATATTAACAACTAGGAAAAGACTAGCTGATGAATCACACTTGGGACTTCGCGCCCTTGCCTTCTAAAAGGTCATCTTACTTGGGTCAAATGGATGTGGCTGCAGGCAGTTTACCACATGATTGTCAGCTTCCAGAAGCATTAAATGCTCAGCAGTGTGACGATCCCAGATGAAGATATGGCCACAGTCAGAGCCACTCATTACAAAGTTAGCACCCCAGAAATTGGCTTCTTTTATCTGAGGGGAGGATATAAGAAAATTCAAGTCAAATCATTAAAACAAGTTTAAAATGCTTTAGTTTAGAAAATAATTTTAAAAATTGGAAAGTTTTTGTCATCTAGTATCTTTAAATCATGATGGATGGAGATTTATCAGCACGGGTGATGTAAGTAATTACAAGTTCCCCGAGAATATAGGAATTGTGCTTTGTTACATTAATGCTAAATTTATAGTGTCTGAAACAGTCTTTAGCACATAACATGTACTGAATTAATAACTACTAAATAAATAAATGGGATTTCTAAGTTTTGGACAGAATGATGGACACACACACACACACACACTAAACTTAAATAGTTCCATTTGAAATTTACAATAAAAACCAAAAAAAGAATTATTTCCTTTTGTATTTTGCTTCATGCCAAAAGATCAAAAAGAACCAACTTTTTTTATTAGCTATTAGAAGTTCTCACAATTGAGAAGGAAAAGCTATAAATGAGCATTTATTTTTTGGAAGCAATGAAACAAGATATCATTACAATATATTACAATGATTAAAATGGCATTTTTCAATGGGTGCACCCAATGAATCATCAGTAATCGTTGTACTTCAGATCAGAACTTTTTCTAATCATTTTATCTGCAGCTGCTATTTTTGACAAAATAAAGAAGGGAAGTAGGTTTTGTTGTTACTTGGAATTACTACTGTAGTTACTTCTTTTTCTGTTTCATTCCTACCCCTAATTATTCTCATCCAAAATTTTAACTAGTAACTGCAACATATATATATATTGGCTATTTTAATGGGTATTCCTTTTATAATGATTAAACTGTTATACCAATTATTTATATTTTATAAATAAATACAGAATTATTTATACAGAGAGCTATTTATTTCTTCACCCCACAGTATTTTTTTTGCTTAGACCCTGAAGAAAGCAGATTAAAACCAATTCTGTATGTAGTACATCTTGCTAATTCAATGAGTATAAGAAAACACTTTCCAGATAGGAATGGCTTGGAATAACAGTTAAACTAGTCATCTTGCAAGAATCTTGCAGGCCCTCCCTGGTGGCACAGTGGGTTAAAGCACTGCACTAAGAAGCTAAAGCCACCTCAGCATGAGTTCAATCCCTGTCTCAGAGGTAATCCGCATGGCTAACCTTTCCTGGCCTGCCCACTGCTCCCCTCAGCAGTGTACTTCATTGATCTGCCTGTTCTGCTCTTCACTCCCCACTCTGTCTCGGGTGAAGCCTCTCACTGCCCCTGCACCTCTGCACCGCTGGCCTGTACCCTAGTACTATACGCATAAAAAAAAAAGAATCTTGTAAAATGGAGGTAGAAAAAGTTATAGACTATAATACATCTTTTCTTGTCAGTCTTGAAAGGATTACAATTAAAATAATCTGGGGTCCTCCCTAGTGGCCCAATGGGTTAAAGTGCAGCACAATGAAGCTATTTGTGGCCACTGCAGCATGAGTTCAATCCCTGGCCAGGGAGGTGACCCATGTGGCACGGCAGACCTCTCCTGTCTCACCTTCTCCTCCCCTCAGCAGTGTGTTTCAAGAGATCTGCTTGTTCAGCTTCCTGCTCTGTCTTTGGTGAATCCTTATGGTGAACCCTCCTGCACCTCTGGCCCAGTTGTATAAATAGATACATCTTTCAAAAAAAAGAAAAACTGACTGTATTTTGCAATGAATCTAAATTCATATATGCAAAATTTCTCTCCATAGCCAAAGGGTGCTAATATGAGCCAAAAATATCTACCAGAAAGGTAAACAGCAAATTAGAGACCAAAAAAGAAACAATGATTACTGGTATGAGTTCAATTTTTAAAAATTCTACAGTATTTCCTTAGGAAAGCAGAATTTTTAAAAAATATTTCACATCATTCATTATTTTCATATACAATGTATGCTTTCTACTCTAGGTATAATCCCCATAAAATACCCACCACTTTACCTATGCACCATTGCCAAATCCTTTGTGTTCTGATTCTGTTTTGATTCCTTTCTCTACCACCCCGTCAAATGTCTCTGATTTATAGTTGCTTGTTAATTGTGTTTGATTTATTTTATATATATATTTTCCTGATCCCTTATTTGGTTGCCCTCTATTCTTCCTATATGTGAAATGATCCAATCTTTTTCTTTTACCATCTGTCTTATTTCACTGAGCGTAATCCTAGGAAGATAGAATGTTTTCATAATATGTATGGGACTTTAAAGAACCATGCTTGGGTTCTTAACAAGAACCCAATACTGATTTTCAATATTGTTACAATATTGAAATATTGTTACAATAATGAGATTACAGTGGGGTCCCACTACTATATATGAAGATAATCACAATGGATAAAACATGTATACTAATAAGCTATAATTTTGTAATAGAATGGCAAGAACATTCAGTACCATTGTCCTGGAGTTGCGATGGCCCTTATAAACCATTTTTACTAGTGGCCTTCTAATGTTCAAAGTATCCAGTTCTTCCATTTCTTTCCTTTCTTTTCTCCGCCTGAAGAACTCCTGAATGCGGGCAACAGCAGAGCGTCTGTAAATTACATTTTAAAAGGAAAAACAAAAATAAATTTGAAAAATTCCCAGACCAATAAACAATGAAAATGGGGAACATTAAAACATGGTGAGTCTAGAAAAATATTTGAAAAGTCATCTCAATAAGGCATCCCCAACCAAAAGCAGTAAAAAGGCAGACACAGAGTGAGACTACACCAGACTAGTTGAGTTACTAAAACGAAATGTTTTAGTCAAGAGATCACTTAGAAATTTGGTACTTGTTGAGAGAGAAAAGAGAAGAGCATGCGGCACACTGCTTTTAAAAGGCTATTTTATAAAAACATGAGACAAAAATTCAAAGTGAAATTTACTACAAATAAAACAAATCCTGTGCAATGCTATTTTTTTCTCTCCACAATAGGAAAGGTAAAGGCATAAAGCAAAACCAAACAAAACTAAGGGCAATATATAGCAGCAGTAGGTAAATTACTTAAGGTTTGACATTTATTTAAAGATTATCTAGCAAACAACAGACCAGTTGAAAAAGAGAGAGAGAGAGAGAGAATACATAAGCATAATGAAACAAGGACCTTCAACTAGAATCTATTCTACAGGGACTCAACACTGAAATACAGATTGGGACCTAATGAGGCAGATTTTACTTTCCTAAAGTGATTTAATTACTAGAAGAAACTTTTCCTGACTCATGAGATTACATAATATGTAGTCTAAACTTGTTATACAAACATTTTGACATACAATAGATCAAAAATTCCAAACACATATGAAAAACAAACACTGTAATAGAAAGGTAGGGGAATGACACGAGTAGGGAAATTACAGAAGAAAGGAGCAGTTAATTCACAAAAAGGACACTCAACCTCACTATTAAAAGTAGAACAAAATGATCTCTTTGCATATCTATCAGGTTAAAAAGATTTTTATGTATCAGAGTAGCAAAAGTATAGGAAAATAGGTACTACTGGTGGGAGGCAAAAGTGGTTTTCTCTCTCTCTCTCTCTCTCTCTCTCTATATATATATATATATATAACTATCATTTTACTGTGAAATTTTCATTGAAATAGATACATGTACTAGAAATATAAACTCATATGTGTATAATCCACAAATGAACAGGCCCATGTAACTCACCACCAGTACTAAAAATCAGCATAAATCTAGTCTCCCAGTGCTTAATTCCCATCATTACACTACCCTTAAAGAAAACCACTTTTCTGATTTCTAACATCATGGACTAATTAATTAAATGTGAAAAATACAATGCATACTCTTCTGTGTCTAGCTTCTTTAGTTCATCATTGTAGAGTGATCTATATTGCTTTAACTATGCAATACTACTTTGTATAAATGTAATTTATCCATTCAATAACTGGCAGAAATTGATTATTGAAACATTACTACTATAACAGCTGTTTATATTTTTGGTGAATACATGTATATGTTTTTATTGGCATGTATATCTACAAGTAGAAATGGTGAACCACAGAGTGTATGTCCAGCTTTAATAGATTCCCCTGAACAATTTTTCAAAGTGTTTTTAACAATGTATACTCCTATCAGCAACATATTAGAGGTCAAGTACAATATACTCTCTGAGAAGAAAATACCTATTAACAAATTAAAAATGTATTTGCTTTGATGCCATAATTTTACTTTTGAAAAATGTACATTGTTAAAAAAAACTTACATATACAAATACATACATGTATATACTCATTGAAGTACTTTTTTGAGAAAGATTTGAAATACTCTGAAATGTTCACAAAGGACAGTTTAAGTAAATTATGATGCATCCATTGTCTGGGATACTTATGTCACCATAGCAAAACATAAGGAAGATTATTCACAAGCAACTACATGAGAAATTTCAGTATTATACTGATGAATCTAAGGTACAGGTAAAGAAGGTAATTTCCAAGGAAAAACTTATATATGCACAGAAAGAGTCTAGAAAACCAGACTCCAAATTGTTAATACTTTAAAAACAATTATGTAAGAACTATATTAACTACTATTTTTACAATAACTATAATAAGAAGGTATTGATATTTTCTTTCTCATAAAATAAAAACATGCTATAAACTATATAGGTTTATTTTAAGTGTTTAAAAACTATCTTATGCTATATATTTCTATCTTTAAAAAGGGGTCTACATATACATTTTAAAGTTAGATATAGTTAGAAACTTCTGGACAGAAAGTTGATATGTTTAATTCACTCTGATGATTTTCTGATTGGGAGATAAGTCTGGGAAGGGTTAAGACTTCAAATGCGCTCAAAAGAAACATAACTAATACAAATGGTTACCTATTTTTATTCTGAAATAGAAGAAAAGTATACTGAATCACTTAAATATGAATAAGAAACCAATGAAGAAGAAAACTCTGGCTAAGAAAATGAGTATCAGGTACCAGAGGAAATTGAAATAACCTTGCAGACAACCAAAGACTTCAGGAGCTATTAACAGAAAAAGAATTAGATGACAAGTTAACATTTCAGGCAGAAGTCCAAGTCATTTAAAACAAAATGTATGGCTAAACTAACAGTTAATAGTAATTAAGAATGGATGGTACCAGATTATAAATGTTCACTTCATTTAAAAGTCTGCTCTACAATATGGCCAATCTAAATCTCAAGTTCTGTAGTTTGCATTTACAATTTAGATCAAAGATTAGGGTACGTCAAATTATGCTGCTGTAGGGAAATTATTTAAGATGTAGAAAATGTTTCAATTGCACAGATTTCAAATTAGTTCAACGTAGCCAATGTTATGGTTATATGTAATCAGATCATGTCCAATTTAGCTTAGAAAGAAATGAATAAACTTAGAATAAGTGCACTGAAATAACTTTAATAGAGGACTAAAAATATATTGATAGGTCATTGAAAATAGTTTTGTGCTTTATCACTTTGCAAGTTTGTCAAATGGAATTTATATGACATATATATGAAGAATAATAATCAGTGAACAAATATTTATTATGAACCTGTTTGCAAAGTTGCCTTGATAATATTAGTAATTAATTCCTTTATGATCAGTTATGCAAATTTACCACACAACTTAAAGTTCATAAAAGATAATATAAAATTAAATACACAGAAAATTTCAGAGGTAAACAATAAAATAATAGTGAGGACTATAAACTGTAATTGAATGGAGAAAAAAGGGAAAAGGGAAAAGTAAAAAGAGAACAAAAATTTAATCCTAAAAAGTATAAGACCATAGGTATAATAGGATAATTAGATAGGCATAAGTAAAATGGATAATTAGAAGTAAAAAATGGAAAACAAGTTCAAATACAGTTATAATGAGATTAAATTTGAACATACTAAATTCACCAAAAGAGAGATGTCAAGGATACATCTAGGACATGAGGATGACAAGGAAAGGTTTCAAGCAAAGAATATTGTACAAGTACAAATCAAATGAAAGATGGCATAGTTTATTAATATTAGACGAAACAGACTAAGGTAAAAAGCAGTGGTAAGGACAGAGATTCTGCAATTTACCAGAAAGGTAAAAGAATTTAACATATGTATACCCAATTTAAAACTAGCAAAAACTGGTTTGAGTACTTGGGGTAGAGATATAAATCAGAAAATTAAAAAGTTCTCTCAACAAATTCTATTTTACTGTCATTTAATTGAAAATTGATAATTAGCAGTAGACCAATTTCAGAAAAAGTACCTCAAATATGCCTTATTCTTAAAATACCAGAACAAAAACAAAATAAATTTTGAGACTTTTACAAGAGAATTGGCATGAAATCAGACTTTACTCAGGGATTTCTATACATTTACATGATTTTTTCACTTATTTCATTATTGTATTCTCCAAAGGGAATTCTATCTATTTGTACATCTCTGATACTTGCCCTATGCTTTATATTCCACTTTGTTTTAGAAGCTAATGATAAATGACAAATATGTCTCAAGAATTAGGTACAAGGTTGATTTTTGTCAAAAAACTAAATAATGGGTAGCTGAATAATGGGAATGAGTTTCATTTTAAGGTTATACCTGAAAATACCCACCGTTGGTTGCCCTTTATGATTGAGGACATCACGTGAGAATATGTTATTTATATTACGGAAGTGTTTGAGTAACATATTATCTTGATGAAGTATGACATTCTTAAGTTATGAAGCTATTCATAAGAAAACCACTTTCTTTTTAAAACCTTATACCTATGCACAGAATTAGACTCAAGTCTGTGTTTAGATAATGACCTTTAGAAAAAGGAGTAATCTGAATAATAACAAGTTGCCACTGTTATCCTAATCAAGTGGTTAAAAATAAAAACATAAATTGCATTCTTCCACAAAATAATCAAAGCAAGTTACTAATACTTAAAGAACATGATTTCAGAATACAGTTATTGTCATATGACACACTTGAAGTGAACATCAGTTATACCTGCATACAGGAGATTTATTTTCATTCTAGTCCCATGCAGTGCATGCAGCTAAATATAGTTTGTGAAAAGCAACCTGCTTTACAATGCTTAGCACTTTGAGTTCAGTAAGTTCAAAGAAGTATTAACTGTTAATAGGAAAGGTGGTTAGCTGTGGATAAAGAGGACCTGGCAAATTCATTGTAAAGAAAAATAAAATAATGAAGGAACATACTGAATTACCTCATTATTCTATCACCTATTGTTGTTCCTCTGATATTAAATCTAGTGAAGGGAACATAATAAAGTCACTCACAAAGACTTTAAAGAAGGAAATATTTAAAGCATTAAGTTTACCACTTTTATCACCAATCATCTAAATTAAAAAAAAATAATTTAGTGCCCTTTATGATTCAGGACATAATGTGAGAATATGTTATGCAGCTAAATGTTTATGAGGAAATTAAATAAACAAAACACTCTTGAAGACAGAAAGAAGACATCATACTTAATCCCTTTTATCTTTAAATAGACTGGAACTAAAACTGTTACAGGATGTAGGAACTACACTGACTTTATTATCAACAGCATCCCTGAAACAATCACATTATGCTCTGCAAAGCTGAACTGTTTCTTTGGATTTTTTGGGGGGTGAGGAGTGATGGGGAGGAGAAGAATTAAGGCCTGAGTTGACTCATTTGCCCTAACATTAGACATGCAAGCAAAAAAAAATAACAGTTTTTAACTCTTAAGTAGCTGATTTTTTCTCTGTGATTACCTTTTTTTTCCTGTAATTTTCTTTAATAAATATTAAACTTAAATCATTAGAATACGAAAGGATGATTATGATGATTATATAGGTAGTGGAAAATTTACAGTATGAAAACAATTTTGGTTTTAAAACTGAAGGCCACATTCCACAAAGTTTAATGTAGTCCCTTTATGAACCAAACTTCCAGGCAGCTGAGAAAGTTTATAGAAGTGACTATGAAGATTAATATCTTTAATCTTTAGTAAAAAATTATTAGAGCATGTCAATTGAGTCTATAAGTAAAAAATGACTCAAGATAAAAGGATTTCTCAAGGAAGTTTACTCATGTGGTTGTCCTTTCATCAAAGAGCAAAAAATTTCTTGGTCTGGCAAGAGGCAGAGTTTACCAGTCGGGCTATCACACCATTTATCATAAGATGGATTTGCATTGTGTAAAGATTATTTGAAGATTATCTAAATTAAAATGAAAAAAAATAAAAAAGACCTGACCACTTGCTTTTATTTCAAGTGCATATGTCAATGTTTCTAAATTCAGCCAAATAAAATGTTTCTAAATTTTAATGATATAAAAACACTAAAAGGTACATATACTGTTACTTTTTTAGTACAGTGATTAGAAAATATGTTTAATTACTAATTACTTACTCAATTTAGTTTCCATTTAATGTTCTATGTTCTTGCCCTACACAAAGGGGACCAAATATGTGGTGATTCATTGATTTCATTGTTCTAAACTTTTGATATCTGCCATTAGAGAAATTTTAGCACAGATTATGGCTTGGGTTCTCTCTATAAAACTGATTTATTACAGAGCAGAAATCAGCAAACTATGGTTCTTGGGTCAAAACTGTTTTTGCAATGTCTCACAGACTAAGAAGAGTTTTTACATTTTAAATTGTTACGTGACCAACAGAATAGCTAGGCTAGCAAAGTCTAAAATATTTACTATCTGCTTTCAAAAAAAAAAAGTCTGTTACACAGTCTTAGTTACATTTTACCAAGACTAGCTATAGTTAATAAGAGCATTCCATTTAAAAATGGCTACGTTAGTTGTTAAGACCTTAATTTTCTAAGACAGGTCCTTCTCATGCTTAAACCCAACCCAAAAGTGAAAGTCTGGGTCATGGTTAGCATCAAATTATAAGAAGGAAAATCTTTTTAAAAAATTGTTTGTATTGCAAAGAATGGCATTTTACTAAATGTATGCCAAAAATGGCTTATCTATGTTCTCTATAGATTTTACTTTAAAAATTAAATTTGGGACAAAGTATTAAAAGATCTACTAGATAATTCTTCACACAAATTAAAGTCCAGATATAAGCATATACTTTTACCATTTTAAAGTTTGGGGCCATTTCTCTACACAATTAACCAAATTAATCTTGACTTGGATTTTGAAATGGCAGCAAGGAAGGCCCATTAAGACAAGTGTCCTTTCAGTTGGGTATTTCATCCCAGGGTAGAATGTCTCCTCACACTCAAAGAAGCAAAAAGAGTGAATTTACAATCGAGTTTTGGAATACTTTGTTCCTTTGGAAACAGAAATTCTCATAAGTCATATGCCTGTTGAGAACACATAAATTACTGTCATGTTCTTAAGCAACTTCTTAAATTTTCTCTTTAGAATAAAAGTTAACATATCTATTCATCCAAATTTTAGAAGAAAGATAAGTGGGCAGTAGTCTCAAGGATGAAGCACCCTTGGAAAGGCATATAAATATGGAAAAGTAAACTTTACATTGGGAGTTCAAGAAACAATCGTGATGGTGCTAAGGAAGTTAGGAGCCAAAAAACTGTAGGTAAAAGTCAGAAGGAAGATTTTTCACCAGTTACAACATTTTGGCAAATAGCTGGGAAAGAATAAAGCAAATACGGTGAAATGGCCATTATAATCACTTCAGTATCATCTCAGTATATATGTAAATGTAAACAGCATTCTTTAGTCTTATATTTATTAAAACAGTTTTCCATTTTAAATAGCTTGTATGCTTGTCTTCTCTTCTTCAAGAAATTAAGTTTCCTAAGAGGTAAGAATTTTATTATTTTCTTATTACTCTTCAGTAAATTTACTACTATATCCTATAAAATAAGACAAAATAATACTCAGGACAAACTAAGCCTAAATACTTCAGCTGATTATGCAAAATATTATATGATTAATTTTTAAGAAGTAGAAAAGCATTTATAGTTCCAGAAGCAGTTTCAAATCTGTATCCAATCATGAAAGTCTGAATACAAGAGGACATTGTGAAGTGGGGCAGTTCTAGGCTGCAGTCCTTGATGTTTCTCCTCAAAAGGATGGCTTGTCTATGTTTAGTGCCTGCGTTTTTTGGGTCAATGTGGCTATCAGGTGCCAAATTTGTGGCAGGCCCATCCATCAAATGGCAATGATACTGTAAGGGACACTCTCTGAATATGGAAAGAAACAGAAGCAAGTTTCACTTGACTTTACTAAGAATGAGGACTGTATGTGGAAAATAATGTATGGCAGATAAAGAGAAGACATGGTTAATTTGTAAGTATAAATATTAGGAAAGAGTACTTGGTTTACATTTAAAAACAGTGTCATTGCAAAGTAAATACTTTGACCAAACAAGGCAGTTCCACTGAACCGCAAACTATACTGGTTTAGGATTGTTGTTAGTGCTCTATCAGTTTATCTCTAGAACCATTCTTTTGCAAGTAGAAGTAGCTCTACAGAATATCTTGGTTGTTTACTACAGCTACTGTTTTAACATTCTCAATGTGAGACAGGTCTTCTAATTGAATGATTAAAAAAAAATTCTTGTAACAATTCAATAATTATCACCCCACTTTGTAGATAAGGAAACTAAGTCATAGAGACAGTAAGTTATCTGAGTGAAGAAAAGTACCTGTTGACTGGTGCTGACACCAGACTCAAACAGAGTCATTTTTCTCTGATTTATTACAACACTGCAATTCTTTAATGGGATATTCAACTTTGCATTATAGTTTTCAATTGACAGAAATGTTAGAATATTTTACAAAGAGCATTATATGAAACACAGAAACAAGTAGATTGACTATCCTTTATCAGCTAGGATTTTAAAGATAAAATTTGATTCTCTGAAAGATGATAGAACTTACAATGAGATATGATGACATTAACTGTAGAAATAGTGCTCAAAAAGTATGGAATACAATATACTTTAAAAGATTTACTTTACCTCCTAAAAAGTAAAAGATAGCCTGGTGAGCACGTAAAGAATACGTGGAAAAAATATATGAACATGTTGGCAACTCAATTTTTTTATTGCAGTCATAGTATTTGTTATTTGGTATGCTTTTTCACTTTCTAAATTGAGTCATTAAGTTTAGGAGAAATCAGAGAAAAACATAGTATTCTCAAAAGAGAATACATTGCCTTGACACCAGGGTCAACAAGAGTCAAAAACCTAAACATCTACAAACCTGGTAAAGGCCAGGATGTGGACAGGGCACTGACAGCTAAACGTAACCCCGAGGCCACAAACAATCTATGACCATTCTGAATGCTCCTCTCTCTCTTTCCAGGCTCTCCAGTAAGTACTGGAGATGAGATATTTTTATTCCCTCCTTAATATGGTTTGCTTTAAGAATATAATATGTGGAGTCATTTGCAATTTTAAAAATTCGGTGAGTCTGTATGACTGAGAGGCACTTAGAGGAAGCAACTGTCAAAAATAGAGAGATTCCTTCATGTGCTATCAAACTGAGCCTGTGAATGTATTTTTTATAGTTCACATTAATTACAAAGTTACCAACCTATCGCCAGGTGCTGCCCGATACCGTGCACCTGGGATTAAGACTGGGTCGTCGTCACTGTCATCTGTATCCTGGAGGGTAGAGTCCCTAGCTGATGCGTCCTCCTGAGCCAAAGGCCCAATGGCTTCTGTGTGAGACTGAGTCTCAGGATTGGTGGTATTTTGGCTGGTAGCACCCTCTGTGCTTGTTTGATCTGAAGTTCCTGGTTCTTTGTCTTTTTCAGACAAAGGTGATTCTTCTGCAACCCCACAAGGGTTATCAGGATTGAAGTCATTCCTTTCCCCTGAGCTGGAATCCAATGGCTCAGATGTGAATTGATCTGATTGTGCTGCAGAAGTAAAGTAGTAACAGTCAGTCGCTGTGGCAACATTAATTATTTTCTGTAATTTCAAAGCTGACAGACATTTTCTAACATAAAGCCCAATTCCCCATACAAAGATAAAAATTACACAATACATCTATGTGGAAGCGGTCTCAAATTCTGGAAAGACTGTCACAGATTAAAGGCTTCTTGTTTTTCCACATGACAACTTACCTGGCTGTGTAAGTGTGCGATTCTGAGTCGTGTCTTCTGTAGATGTATCTTCCTGAGATCTTGTCACATTCTCTGATGATTCTTCAGGAACTTCTGGCAAATTAATCAAATTATCATTACATCCAATTTTTTTAATGATACATGCCAATTTAACAATCTAGCTTTTCTATGGCTAAGTGGTTCTCAACTCCCTCTGGGTCATGGAAACTTCCGACATGCAGACAATCCTCTTCCCAGCACAGTGCAAGTAGGTGTGCATGCAAAACAAACACTGTGCAGAAAGGGATTGAGGTGCAGTTCTGCACACTGCCTCTTCCTGGAGCCAGGAGTGGGCCTTTACAACTCCTCTGTAAAGAATATCTGCTTTAGATTATCAAACACAGTTGACAGGAGTTGATTTTTCAGTTCTTCTAAACTTCAAAAATCTAAACTTAAAGCTGAGCATCTATCCCTTTTAACATGAATTTGAACAAATATTAAAGAACTATCTTAAATTTTGTTTTTGTCCTTGAAAAATACTATTTCTGGGAATTAACTCCAGTACACATGAGATTAAGATTTACAGTTTTCCTACAATATTTAATTCTTATAATTTCTGTGATAATAGGGATCTATTCACTAAATAAGAAATAAAATTCACTTCTTATTCATCTTTTTATTGAATTTAACACTGGCTTATAATATTATATAGGTTTTTGGATGCACAGCATTTATAAATCGACATCTGTTTATACTTCATTAGGTTCACTACCAAAAGCCAAGTTTCCACTCTATTTTATTCTTTTATTCATCACATATTTGTTGAATAGTTACTGTGTTTCAAAGTTCTAAGAAGACATTAAATTTCATTTAGTGGCCACACAAAGGTATTATAAGAAAGGGATCCTGAAAAATTCTCTAAATTAAATTTCAAATATGAAGTAACTCAACTTGTTATGATTTCATTCCTCTTTTTTTACCTATACTTCAGAAATCACCTCTATGCTGAGAAAAATTAAGCCAATTTTTCTGGATTACATGGCTAGTTATAAAAACAAAGATAATTCAAGTTAAACATTTTGAGTGTGATGACAACTTATCCTGACCCTTGTGGCTACAATGAGGATTGTGCTTCACTGTGACAACCTAAGAGCTTCATGAATCTGTTATTTATCAATAGTAATAGATGACTACAGAGGTCAAGTGATTTGTTAACAAAATAAGAAACAAAACTACAGCATTGAGGGCAGAGGAAAAATAGCTGGATATCTGATACTGGGGTTCCGTAATGAAAAAAGCAAACACCACCTTACTTGTCTCAGTATCTCCCTCCGGCAGCTGCATGGAGCTCTGTGGGACCAGGGGCTCCTCCTGACCCTCAGGTTTGCAGTGGTTCCCATTGCCTCGAGAACTTGATGCAGTACTGCTCCTATCATCAAAACAAGTTGAGTAGTTCCAACCAAGAAGTTAATAAATTTGAACATAAGGGTAATTTTTATAACTTACAACTAGAAAAGTGGATATAAAACTTCAGACTATAAATAGAATATAAGCTTTATTTTAATGGTACTTACAAGATATCACTTTAAAAGACGAAGGTGATCATTCTAATTCACTCCAATTTTTAAAGACTTAAAAACAGAAAAGGAGCAATTTTTTGTTGTCTTGATGCTTTTGTATATGTGTGTTGATATGTCTCACTATGGAATTTTAATCAAACTCCATTGTCTTGCTTTTTTTCTTCACTACAGATGGTTCACCAAACCAATACCAAATATATAACAACTCCTAAAAGATTTTATAGTCTTTGCTCACATCCTTTTTTAGACCTTAATGTTCTGGGTTATTTTAAATCGATACTTGATCAGAAGTCTAGATCTTCCTCTGGTCTTTGTACTGCCCCCTGTGAATCACTTTCAGCTCTGGACTGTTGTTTCAAATGTGGTCACTGAGCATCATGATTTTCTAGGACAGGGTGTTTTCTGTTTTAATTTTAATACCTACCTGATGATAACCATAATTCTATTAATATTTTTGGCTAGAGCACAATTTAAATAAGTAAATTTCCAATGAGTAGTTTGAGACAAATCATGGTAGTATGTGTAAAGGATTGAAAAGGGGAGAAAATATATAACATATAAGACAAAATTAAATTTATAGAAATGTCAACAATTTCTTAAATTTAGAATAAATGTGGACAACAAAAATAAAACTTAAGAGTTACAGTAATAACTTAAAACACATTAGTAACAGACAAATAGCAGTGATTCAGTAATAGGCAATGCTAATTATCATGGACTTTTAGCTAAGATTTTATAAAAATCCTTTAAGTTAACTGCAGAAGTTGACTTGATTTTCTCTAAAGGGCAACAATTTATAACAATGCTAAAAGAATGTCTATCTAGATAAGTGTATATGCAAAGAAAATGCCAAAAAGGATAGCACCAATGTCAAGTATCTCAGGATTACTGCAAGTGATTTTTTTCTTATTTTCCTCTGTATTCTAAAATTTCTTTGACATAAACATGCATTTCTTTTTAGTCATTTTGGTAAAGGGAAGCTAGTATGATACACAGTCAATTTTTTTCCATTGAGAAAGCTATGATACAGGCATAAATAAAATGCTCAGTGTATAGTAGTTATGATAATTATCAGTGATATAGAAATATAGAGGCATTGGTGGAAAAGACAAAAAAAAGTAAATATTTATTTATCATGTTAATATGGCATTTAAAAAACAGAGAAATGAATAATTTTTTCAATAAATGGTACAAACATTAAGCTATAGCTCTAGGTCATATTTTACGATAAAATAACTTGTAGAAAAACTAAACATGCAATTTTGATATACAAACATAGAAATATAAGAGGAAAATAAGAAACTTTCCCCTTAATCCTGGGAAGGATAAGACTCCTAAGTATAAGCTCACAGGGGAAATCATGAAGCTAAGCTACTATAAGTAAGCTGAAATACAGACAATAAATTGGGGAAGATATTTGCAACAAATGAAAGACAAATGGTATTATCCTGACTTAATTCTATAATAAACAAATAGCTCTTATAAATCACTAAGAAAAAGATATACACCACCATAGAAACTGGAAAGGTAGCTTACAAAAGATATAGTAGCTAATAGTTATTTAGAGCTTATCACCTGCCAGTCAAACATACCATGTCCTGTTTCTGCATTATCTCATTAAATCTTCTCAACAACTTATAGATTCAAATAAATATAACCGGTTTCAGGTAAGAAAACTAGGATTTAGAGTTTCAGCAGCCTGTCAAGTTCAGAGTTCAGGCTCTGGGTCAGTATACTCTACTGCCTCACTGTCATCAAAGAAACTAAAATAAAAAAGAAGCACTAATACTGGCAAAGATGAAAAAGACTGCATATACTTTGAGTCTTTGTAAAACAATGAACATCAAATAGTTTCATAATTAGAAAAAAGCTAATTAATTTTTTGATAAAGAAACGAGAAACTGATGAATAAGAGAATAATTCATGGTCAGTTTTTAGATACGGAAAAGTAGCATTCAAAAGAAGAATAGGATTAAAAATTTCTTCTAAAAATATGCTTAGATGAGATCTCTATAAGAAATATTTCCTGTATACAAACATGAGAATAAAACAGGAAAGACATAACAGAATAAGTATGACAATCTTTTGTGATCTTAAACTATATGTGAAGAAAAAGGGTAAAATATGATGAAAAGCTAGGGTTCATAATGAAATTCTACTGACTTTACTTTCCAGTATATTTCTAGAATCCATTCTCTTCTGACTGCCTCCATTGTTCCTATCCAAATACAGGACACCACCACTTCTTAGCTCACTTAATGCTATGGTCTCCTGATTTCCTGGTCTCCTGATTTCCTGATCTCTGCTATGACCTATTCTCTACACAGTTGTCTATCTTTTAATTTCTCCCCTTTATCTTGTACAATATCATTCTCTTTTACTGGCTGACCTTACCTTCTACTACTCTCATTCAGTCGCTCCACTCCAGTTATACTGCTTTTGTTTTTCCTCAAGCTCCTTTAACACAGCAGTTTTATTTCTGCTTCACAGTGCTTGTACTGGCTTTCTGCTTACAATGCTCTTCCCCAGATACAAGTACTGCTTACTCCTTATCCTTCAATTTTTTTTTTGTCCAATTGTCAATTTAATGATGCCCTAGTTCACCCAATCACATCTACCTGCTTTATTTTCTCCACTAGCACTAGGCACCTTCTAACATACTGTACAATTCACTTATTTATTGTTATCATGTCTCCTCCTACAATAAGCTCCAACAGGGCAGGAATTTATCTGTTTTTCCAACTGATACATTCCCAGAATATGAGAGTTGCTAGAATATGGGAGGTATTTGGTAATTTTGAAAATCCTATCTAATTGGAGATTTTAATATAAAAAGCATATACACATAAACACAAGTAGAAACCAGTGAGCTGGAATAAATAAATAGTACTATATATCAACATATATTAATAAACAATATATAACTTTATTATATATTATTTACACATAATATATTATATATTATACTGACATAATATATAATTATATTAATGTACAATCATATATGTTAATATAATAATGTATCAATTATACAGGATAATATATTGTCATAAAATGATTAATATAATTATTATATATTAATATATAATTATATCAATATGTAATTGATTATAAAGTTAGAAAGAGTATGTTATCTACATATTGATATTCCTACAGTAATAGTAATAAATTTAAATAAAACTTTTGTCTTAAGAAAAAGGTAATGGAATAGTGGGGAAAATATAAGGAACTCACAGAGCTTGAATTTTTTTTTAAGTGTAAGTTTTAACTTGATAAATTAACAATAATCACAAATGTCATTAAATAAAAACTATACAACCACTAAATCAAACTTTCTAATAACAAATAATAATTATTTGAAAATCAAATACACATGCTAAAAGTAGATGAGTATACTGAACATTAGCCTAGAGATAGCAAATGTGTGATTTCATATGCTGTTGGTAGAAATGTAATGGCAGGAGAGATTTTTGAAAATAATTTGGCAATTATTTTGAATTAATACAGCTCATTTCTGGAAATATGTATGAAAGATTGGAAAAGTTATCTTAAAGGCAGGAAAAAGCAAACAAACAAAGATATATAATAGGCTTTACATGGGAAAAAAGTAAACAAATTCAGTGCCTAATTAAAGAAAAAGGGTTAAGAAAACAATTATACAGCCAACTTGAAGGAATATTTCCTATATTATTTAGGGAAAAGTATGAACCTGGGGATATTATTATAAAATTAAGTCAAAGAGATGCAACAGAGAATTTAGCATATTCAGTTTGATTAAAACAATGTTTTCAAACTCAAACCAAAAATCATATATACAACTATTTAGGAGCTTCATCCTCTAACAACAAAAGTCCTTTAACAACAAAAGCTCCAAAACATTATTGGTTGTTTTTGTACTAATGGTTGCTAGGCAATTTCTATCAGAAGTAGTATCCCAGAATCAGCAACATCAGCATCAACTGGGAAATTTTTAGAAATACAGAAATTATCTGACTCCACCTCCAAATTAACTGTGAGAGTGGGAGACCCATTACTCTGTTTTAAGAGTTTTCTAAGTGATTCTAAAGCACAATAAAGTCTAAGGACCAATGCATTAAGCAAAACAAAACAAAGATCAAGTGCTAAAAATATGATCTAATACAATCCTACAAAATGGCTAAAAACATCTTTACAAAAATATTAACTTACCATTCATCTGTAAAGTTCAGTTTTATTGTGCTTGTAGTTGTTCCTTCTGTGCTGTAGTGCAAACTTAAAACTGGTTCACCTGTCCCTGGCTTGGGGCTCAGCATTTCATTATTGTTATCTGAAAATTGTGTTTAAAACATTTGAAAAAGTCTCTGAAACCAATAAAAAGATGACATTTCCCCAAATTTATAAAACTTAAATTAGGTTGTCCTTGACATTTTTCCTTATGTCTGTCATGGTTCTCACTTAAAGTTCAAAAGCAAGTGTCACAGAATTACTATTTATATCTTAAAGTGGCACTGCATCAAATTCTAGCTTTGTATACATGATTCCTTCTGATTCAATTGGAAATAACACACTTTGAGAACCATACTGACTAGTCATTTGGGAATCAAAGATTATTAACATGCAATGACATATGTTATAAAATGGTACTCTTAAGGAATGTTTATAATTTTATTCTTCAGTTGGTAGAGCAATGATAATAACTAGCATTGGCTCCTTCAGAAACACCAAGATATACAATGAAAAAGGTTTGTTCAGTAAAAACTTTGCTGCAATTAAATACTATCAAATTCCTTCTGTTCTTTCAAATTTACAAGTTTATAATATAGAGCAGGATTAAACCCTTCACTCTTAAGGGTAAAGGGAAAAGAAAATTCACTATGCTTGATGTTTGAAAACTCTGTCATAAGAGCATTTGTTTTTATTTATTTCATCTTCTCCTGACTAATCTTGTAAGTAATTTGTTTTCTACATAATAGAAATTACAGTTTACGATAAGAGAATATAGGTAATTTCCTTGATATACAACTATCTCCATGTATTAAATCCTGTAAAATGGCAAGGAAAATCAAGAAAGTGTAGAGAAATCAATACCAACAACCCATCCCATATAAAAAAAAAGGTTCATGGCTAGTCAAAGAAAAATTAAAGAGGGATTTAAAAAATTTTCTTTTTATGATGAGTACAGTTTGGGGGACCATTGATATAAATATAGAATACAAACTGAGGCAATAGCAAACACGTAACATTTCTGCAGCAGCTTAAAGATAGAAAGCTCTTTTGTGAGAGAACTGCTTTCTTCATACCAGTTGAAGGACTAAAATAATAGTATTAACAATAATCTTCCTGTCTTGAAAAAAAAGCTATAACAATAAAACCAAATTACTCAGGTTTTTTGGTCAGTAGGCCCATTTTAATTGTAATAAAGAACATATCTTTAGGCATTCAATAAATTCTATCCTGGGAGAGCATAATGAACCAGATTTAAAATACAAATACAGTAGAAAGGATAAAAAATTCTCTCCAAAAGATAAGGAATCAAACTGATAATAAAACTCAGGAGTATCACTTCTACCTCATGAGATACTTTGTCCTATAATGCTGTTACTTGAAAATAAAAATGAGTTACAAAGCTGGTATCTCAAAAGATAAAATTACTTTGTTTCTAAATTACCACTATGCCTTTGACTACTAACTAAATTCAAATAGCTGTTGGAAATAAATTAACAATCCATTAAACTTTCAAAGATTCAGTACTCCAATTAGAGTTTTGAAGGAAGTATTTTGCCAAATGGCATTCTGATAAAGTAACTGAATTATCAGACCTCACATAAAATTATCAAGCCTGGGACTCTTAGAGAAACCTGTCCTTCTCCTGACTGTCTTTGGAATATTTACTGTTTTTAGTAATTTGTCCACATATCCCTTTCCCTTAGTCTTTGTATTACTGCTGAAATTTTTGTTTTGCTGCCAACAAAGTAAATCTCATCTTTAGGCATCTGGAATTGACAAGAACAGATAGCTGAAAGACTGGAATCAAGAAAACTAAGAGGCAGAGCTGGAATTAGTTCTTTCACTATCTGACACATTTTATAAAGTGCTTTCTATTTATGTTTCCTTTAAAGCAAAGAAGAAACAATGCAAAAGCAGATATGAGAGAATTGTAGGATTGAATTTGAAAAGCTGCTTTTGCATATCAAAATGTCCCTTTTTAGAAAAATAAGAGAAACAGTTTATAGATGATTAAATGTTATGACATTAGGGACATTAAAAACAAAGAGTTATTAAGATTTCAGAATAATATAGAAAATATTTAAATTTATACACCACTTTTTCCTACGCCTTCTACTCCCTCACAAAAGCAACAATGGGGTCCTTCCTGGTGGCGTAGCAGGTTAAAGCACAGCACTAAGAAGCTTAAGCCACTTTAGTGTGAGTTCGATCCCCGCCAGCCCCAGAGGTGACCCACATGGTGCGGCAGACCTCTCCTGACCTGCCTGCTGCTCCCCTCAGCAGTGTACTTTGTTGATCTGCCTGTTCTGCCACCCACTCTGTCTCTGGTGAATCTTCTCACCCTCCACATCTCTGGCCTTACCCCAGTTCTGTATGAATAAATCTTTAAAACAAAACAAAAGTAACTGTTTCTGAGACTGTTAACTAAAACTTCTCCCTTATGATATCTACTACAGTTACTATTCTTATCTCCTGTGAATAAATCTGCATATACAAATCATGGAAATAAAAAACAAAATAATATTCATTTATGAAATGAAAGAATTTGTTCTTTTTTTTTTTTAAAGATTTATTTATTTGTGCATACAGAACTGGGGTACAGGCCAGAGGCTCAGGGGTGGTGAGAGGCTTCACCAGAGACAGAGTGGGGAACAGAACAGGGAGATCACAGAAGTACACTGCTGAGGGGAGCAGCGGGCAAGTCAGGAGAGGTCTGCCACACCATGTGGTCACCTCCAGGGCAGGCGGGAATCAAACTCATGCGGAAGCGGCTTTAGATTCTCAGTGCTGTGCTTTAACCCACTGCGCCACCAGGGAGGGCCCGAATTTGTTCATTTTTTAAGAAACTCAGTTGTCAAAAAAAAAAGAAAGAAGCTCAGCAGTCCTGAGTAAAACTGACCAATTGCTCTATAAACATACATACTGTAGTGAGCTACAAGCCCTCCAGACCTCTGAGTCTAGTTATCTCTTTGTAGCAACACATAAAGAGGATGACAGAAATCCTACACAATGCTGAGCCTGCCGCACATGGGAGCATATACCCCAGGTTTAGATTCATCACCTAGCCCTGTTCCATTTCACTCTTCCAACTTTACTACTACATAATCAGTGAATTTTTGCAGAAATGTAATCTATGACTTACTAGTGAACACAGAACTTCTTTCTAACAAAACATGTATTTTAAGTTACAAATGTGTAATAGAACATAGTTACAAAATTTTTATTTCCTTTAAAAAATATTTGTAACCATTTAAATTTCCCCTAATTTGCTCTATTTTCTAGAAGTTGAAACATCAAACACATTCTAAAAACTATTATTCAAAGGCTTACATAATGAACAGATATATATTAATGAAATATTGTGCTTACAAGTAGAGATCTGGAGTTTAGAACTTCACCTAAACACACAAGTGACTAGAAAATGTAACAACTGTGACTTATGGAGTATTACTAAATACAAAAATTATCCTTTTTGACTTCTCTGGTGTTCTTACTATACTATTCAGGAAACAACTTGAATTCCAAGTAAAAAAGATTGCTTAAATTTTTAATTAAAAAATATCAATTGTTGGTGTTATTATTGCTCAGAAATGATGTGTAATTTATTACCAGCAACATTATATAATGATAAAAGTTCTGGTGGCCAAACTTACACTTTGGCATCAGAGTATTAGAAAACTACGTTCGCTCATCTAGAGCTATGCAGAGACTGAACTCCTGCTTCTTCCTCTAGAAACATGATGGAAGAATAAAAGTCTCCTGGTGCGGAGTCACTATAACAACCATTTTCCACATCACTCCACAATTAGTAGCTTCAATGTATGGATGGTATTGAAATAAAATATTCTCTACCGAAGGCGTTTTCTATTATATAACAAATTGGCAACAGTCCTCATTCCATTACAGCAAATGTCAAATTAAAGTTCAAATCTGAAAGTTCAACTATCTCCTCCAAATTCTGCAGCTCAATACTTGGCTTACACAGAAAAAGGGGCAAACTTCTCAAATATAGTTTCTAGAGCAATGCAATGGATATTCAGTTTTTCCATTAATTTGTATAAGAAAGAACATTCTAATTCTAGGAAACAATTTCTAAGAAAAGATTCTAACAAAGAACACCTATGTACCACAGAGATGACTGTGAGGAAAGGCATTTTATTTTAAAAATGAGTATTCTCACTGATAATTAATTTAATTTTAAAAATATAAAAAGCTAACTTTTTTTATGAACTTCAAAATCAAACAAAGTAAAACTTTAGTACTGATATTACAAAATCTCTACTATATAATCTTCAGGAATAAGAATTCTCTACAATCAAAACTCAACCTCTATGTTAACTACAATAATTTTAATCTAAGAACTTTCCATGACATAACAGATACTTGAATGAACTTAAATATGAATATGGATACATACAGATAAAGACTGTGTCTAGTTCTATGTTCCCAGTGCTATTTACTATAGGTTGTAATGTCATCATTTTATCTCTGCTACCTACGTTCTCTTTTCATACAGAAGGGAAAGTCTTAAAGTCTCCAATTCATAGTTCACTTTCACCCTCAAAGAGAACTTAAGGATAAAAGAGAAAATATTTCACCCAATTTGGCAAATAAGCCTTGCCAAATTCTTCATCCATTATCTCTTTTTATTGTTTCCTTAGGTATATGGTTTAAAAAAAAATCCAAACCTGTCAAGTTACATGCTGATTAAATAATGAAAATGAGGGCCCTCCCTGGTGGCACAGCAGGTTAAAGCACAGCACTAAGAAGCTAAAGCCATGAGTTCGATCCCAGCCTGTCCCGGAGGTGATCCACATAGCGTGGCAGACCTCTCCTGACCCTCCGGCTGCTCCCTCAGCAGTATACTTCTTCGGTTGTCCTGTTCTGCTCCCTACTCTGTCTCTGGTGAATCCTCTCACCATCCCTGCACCTCTGGCCTATACTCCAGTTACAAATAAATAAATAAATAAAAATGAACAAATCAGACAAGACTTGGAAGAACATACTCTTCTACCACTTTCCCTAAAGCTACTGTCCTTATTCATTTGTTTTGAAATGCTTTTCTTACTTCTCATATTCATTTCTTCGTCTTCTGCTCTA